TGCTGGGGGATTGAACCGCGGTCCCTGATGCTTTTGCTAAGCTTGTTCTAAGTAGGTGCTTTAGACCACTGAGCCATCTCTCCAGCCCCACGTTCATTTTCAACATGGAATCTTGCTGTAAATCTCAGTGAATGCTTATTTTTTATACATTCTCTTTCAGAGCTTTCTTCCCTGAAGGCACATGTTCTCATAACTTATCTCTCTATAACCACCCAATTACCTAATACTCTCCTTCCTGTATATGACCCCCATACCTTTGGTCTTCCGAAGTTCCTCCAGTAGGAAGCCAGCCTCCTCTTGGATACGTTCCTCAATGCTCCGTTTTCCCATTCCAAAGTCCCGAAGAATACTCAGGGAAAAGCGTCGAAGAATCTTCCATCGCTCACCACTGGCCATAGCTACACCTGTCAAGATTCCAATGTTACCTCCTGCCTGCCCTCCCCTTGATGTGCTTAAGTCTGTACTATACAAGGACAGACTATGGAATATTCTTACTCTAAAAGAAGGCACCTCTTAACCATACAGAATGGGAGCAATAAGATTCTCTGTGCAGGATCCTCAAAAGCTATCCATATTGAGGTAGCAGAATCTGGTTCAGAATGACAAGAGAGACTTAGAAGAGTTTTTTATAGGACAGAGAGCTAGATGAATAACTCCATGAATGCATAAAAGGGGAGGAGGTATGAATAGAATGCCATACCAAGGTCTCTGGTGTGAGGATATTAACGGTTTTCTGTATATCACTTGGATTTTATAGACATGCAAATATATGTACACAGAGCTCACATATATAAATACAACTACACAAAGAGTTCTTTCGTGGTAAGGCACACTTAGAAATTACTAGATATGTGGGGGATGGTAAAAATTTGGAAATTTAATCATTTGTGATCATGTTCATTGTTGTCATTACCCACCATAACTTTGGAAGTTTCGGTCTACTGAAGGCATTTCTCCACGTCCATTGAAATAATCTCCTTGGTCAGCCAGGGCCTCCTTTAATGCATCATAACCGCATAAAACAACTACTGGCCGAGGGCCCATGTATACAGTGAATACTGGACCATATTTCTTGTGGAGCTAGTAGTGAAGACAAACACCAAAAGAGGGGTTGTATTGGAGTGTGATGTATAAATCAGTCAAGGACTTGAGAATGTGGAGATTTCAGGGGTACAAATGTCAGAAGAACATATAAAGGTAAATTTTCTGCTTGCAAGGACTATTGAGGAAAAAACATGAAAATCTTGACTTTTGTTATCTTGAACAAGAATCACCCCTATACCTTCAAGACTTACTTTCCTCAGTTGCAAAATGATAGATTTAGGTTGCATGAAATCCAAGACTCACACTGCTTTCTCTCTAAACTGCCAAATTTCAAGACTTTTAAGATTTTATGACATAGTGTCTCAAAATTCTAAGACAAATTCATGTACAAATCCTTGTGCTTAAAGATATTAGTCCAAAGTCCTGAGTTTGTGACCATTTTATTCAATGCTCTAAGAGTTTATATTTCCCACATTTTAAGAACTGGAGTTTTCAAATTCTAAGATTATAACTGTTTCCATAAATCTGTGTTTTAAAAGTCAAAATGCATTTGGCTATAGGACTAGTTGCTTCCAGCCATAAGAGATAGTTAGACAGACTCACCTTCAATAAAGACTCATAAGTCTTATTATAGCCAATTTGCAGCATGTTCCCAAGGAAAGGGAGTGGTGTGGGGCCTGGGGGCAGCTTTCCTCCCTTGTCGGCTCTTTTCCAGGCAATGAGGAGAATCAAGCAAGTCAAGCATAGTGTCAAAAAGATGGTAAAAGCTCCTCCTAGCTCCATGGTTCCAAGTGGAGGAATGGTGCCCTGGGCTCTAAATCTCAGTTAAATAGTTCTGGAAGATCAGCTGACACGGAAATGTGAACACACTGAGATTCTAGTTTTCCAAGTGTTGATACCATCAGAAAAGATAATACTTTATCTGGTAGTGGTTATGTAACCTATAACCTCCACCTGAGTATTGAATTCACTCAGGGAAAATCTATACAGGTCATTCTGCCTTCTTCAGACTTTAAATTCCTAGCTCTCCCTCAGCTCAACCCCTGGTTTTATATCTTTTGTGAGGTGTGGGAGGCAGCTGAATATCTTGTTTTGTTATTGAAGTTAGGATTCAGATTATCTAGATTCAAATTTCCATTCAATTTTTCTACATTAGACAAGTCACCTAATCTATGGAAATGCCTTTTCCTGTCTTTCAAGTAGAGAAACATAGTGTTGGAGAAAGTCTTGATCAATTAAAGAGGTGACTCCTTTGTTGATTCTCTAGAGATGAATCTACATAGTGCTTACTAAATATGACATTTTGGAATAGCAAGAAAAGTACTAAATTGAAAGCATTTATACAATAATTTGCATTCAACTCAGATAATATTAAGCAACAATAATCAAATGTTATTTGTATAAGTTTGTCAAAACTTAGCTCATGCACACATATGCATGTGTTTTATATGTCCATCATTAAGCAGATGTAAAAACCACCACTGAGCCTGCATATCTAGAGGAAAATATTACTGCTAGAGACATTGTCTAGTGAGTATTCTACTTAACAACTTAAGCAAGTGATTCTCAATACTTTTTAAAACTCATAGCTTCAAATCTTTACTTTTGCATTAAAAATCCTGGGTATTATATTCTGTCTATGCACACTAATAAAGAAAAGGAAATGTTCTTTCCACATCCTCAGACTTGAAAGTTGAACTCCTTAGATTATCTGCAGGTTTTGATAACTGGATTTGGCCAGCTGAGCTGGTGTCCTGTGTCCAGGAAGAGTGGCAGAAATTCTGAAAGGATGAACTTCTCATGAACTACCTTCTGGGCTTTAGATCATCAGCCTGAATATCTTTCGTTGGGTAGAGACTCAGGAATAGGCTACTCCTTTTCACCCTCTGCTTTCACCTTTCCCTCTTATTCTAATCCTTCCTACTTCACAGTGACCCCACATACACAAATTTATTCTTTATCTTATTTTACCTTGAAGAGAATAAACAAAAGCAAAAACAAATAGTAGAAGCACAGACAAGAATAGGATAACATACAACAATAGATATGTATCAGATTTTCAATTATAGAATAGTAAATTAACAGTGGTGGTTATATTTCCTACTTTTATTGTCAGATCTGTTTCTCAGACTAACATGTATAGTTTTGCAAGGTTGGGTACAAAATTGAATAACAACACTTGCATTCAAAAAACCTTAATTATTTTCTAGGGCCAGGGAGATAGCTCAGTAGAATGAGGGCTTGGCTGGCAAGTGCAGCATCTTGAGTTCAATACCCAGTATTGTACAATTAAAAAAAGAAAAAAAAATAAAAGAAAAAAGAAAAAAAAAAGAAAGAAGAAAGTTGTTACTAAAAATTAATTTTTAGGGCTGGCGAGATAGCTCAGTGGTCTAAAGCGCCTGCTTAGGCAAGCTTAAGCAAACATGCAGGGACCTCGATTTGATCCCCAGTACCACATGCCATGCCAGCCCCGCCCCCAAGGTGGGCTGAGCTGACCATAAAAAAATAAAAATATAAAAATTAATTTTTAGTCTTTTTTTACCTTCTTGGGCAAATAAATTTATTTTAAAGAGAGTATAAATAAAATTATGGAAAAAAGAGAGTATAATAACAATAAGACATTAGTAATGATATATATTTAGAAGACCAAGATGAGAGGTATTCAATCATAGTTTTCACATTACACATTGCTGTCCTCAATGTAGTTGCTTAGAATGCACATATCATAATAAAGAGTTAATCAAGGTGAAAATTCTAAACATTCACTGCTATTCTCAAAACAACTGATGGAAATTATTAGTATAATCATTTCTTTTTTATTTTCTAGCAAGTATTGATATGTTAAACTTTATTTATTTTTAATAATTTTATTGAGAAACAAATAGCCATGAGACAGTTTCAAAATCAATTAGTAGGACACCTTCAATAATTAATACATTGTATATTATTGTCTTCTTAGTGGTTATTCTTAGTACAAGATGCAGACATGATATCCTGACCACAAAAACTATTAGCACAAATCTTTATATTCATTGAATTAAGAGAAAGCAGCTGTGTATCCTTACTAGTTTGAATATATATATACAAAATGGTCCTTCATTCGTATCCACATTTTTGTTTAGCTTTGTCAGAGAAGGACCTACAAACTGCAGTACAAGGTTTCAGGATAAATTCTGAGGTGATTTGACTGACTTTATTAGATACTAAAGCTACATCTCTTGTTATATAGTTCTTGCTTTATCTTGGTCTTAAACATCCAGTGGAAAAACATACAAAATGAAGTACAAAAAGTAAAGTCATATGCTGAGCTGTAAAAGGCTCAAGTCAATAATTTCTGACATTGCCAGTCCTACAGATAACCCATGACTAATATGGACTACTGTACTATATTGGAATATTTTGCTTAATTCACACACCTACAATATCTAAATGACAGTAAAATCAATTAAACCAACAAACTTATTCTTTTTCTTTGATTTAAAATTTCTGAATTTAGTTCACCTTATAATACCATATTTCCAAGAAAAATGAACCTTTTTCACAAGAATTAAAATAAAATCATACCAAGATACACAAAAATGAAATTGTCCAAAACTTATTGTAAAGAAGAATATCATTAAAGTGTATGCATAAAAAATATTAGCTATGGAAGAACAAAATTAAATAGCACCTTATTCCATATGAGAAAGAAAAAAAAGGACCGTGTGCAAAAAACTAGACTAATTAAAGGATTGAAAGAAAAGAAAAGATCTTTCCTCTTTGAATTTTATAGCAAATATACCTTTGAAAACTAAAAGTAAGATTTTCTACTTATACAAACTTGAAATATTTTAATACAACCAGAAGTAGCATATAGGAAAAGACAAAGAGCATAATGCAAAAGGCAAGAGAAGTTGCAGTATGCTCCTGGATGAAGAATAAAGAGGTCTCACTATGATAGTTATGTAGGACTATATAAAAAATATATTAGATGAACCCTTATTTAAAGGTCATTGGGAGAGCTTCCTGCTACCCAGAGCCTGCGGGAACAGTCCCAGCCCAGTCGCAGCGTGGGCTAGACACTCTCCTACAACCTTGCAACGCCCCACATCACTCCGCAGCATCTCCCCCACCCCGCCTGCCGAGTAGGAATTTCTGTCATTTCCGGGAACCCTCAGACCCAGTCCTAGCCCAGGTCGGGTGAGTGTGTGGGAGAGCTTCCTGCTACCTTGCGATGGCGGGACCAGTCCCAGCCCAGGCGCAGCATGGGCCAGGCCCTCTCCCACCCAATTGAGACTCCCCCCACCACTCCGCACCATCTCCCGCACCCTGCCAGCCGAGTAGGAATTTCTGCCCTCTTTCGGGAACCCCCAGACCAGTCCTAGGCAAGACCCAGTGAGTGTGAGGGAGAGCTTCCTCTTTCCCCTACTCCACCTTGCCCCTCCAGGCACAGCTCAGGCCTGGCATACATGCCTGGGGTGTAACCCTGCAGCGGCAATCGCTGCAGAGACTGTAGAGGATAGATCTACTCAGCTAATCTAGGAGCAGAACATCTTGCCACAGGGCACAACAGGTTCACCCTCAAGGGCAGCAGCGGGAAGGAGCTGAGCAGAGCAGCTAGACCCAAGCCAGGCACAGATGGATAAGTCCAAACATTGTAGAGCTGCACCTGAACTTCAGTACATGCGAAGGTTATAACTACAGCAAAGATCTACAAAAAAGTCAGAAGACAGTGCTACACAAAATGACGAGAAGGAACAAAATGTAACCTCAGAACCCAAGCCAAACCGCAACAAGTTCAGAGGACACTAACACAGAACAAATTGGAAATCACACAGCTGAAAGCAACGAATCAAAGGCTTCTGAAACAAAGAAACAGCTGCAGAAAGGTATAGAGGACCTCAGATTGGAAATAAAAAAAGAAATCCCTGAATTAATATCATCTGCACTAAAGAATCAAATGCAGAAACATATGGAGGAAACCCACTGCCCACCCAGCACAAGTGCGGAGGACACTGGCCCTGCTCAAATGCATGAATTAATAGCGTCGATAGTAAATAAGCAACAGCAGAAAGATATAGAGGAAATCAGAGCGCAATACCTTTCTGAAATAAAAAAAGAAATCTCAGAACTCATAGCATCTGAAGTAAAGAAGCAACTACAGAAAAATAGGGAGGAAACCGAATCTGAAAAAAAAACACTGCAGTAAAAGAATTTCTAACTGCTTCTAAAGAAGATATTGATAAAAAAATAGAGATTAGAAAAATGATGGATTCCTTGAATGAGCAATACAGGAAAGAAATAGATCGCATGAAGCAGAGTCAGAGGTATAGAGGAAATTAAAATCTCAATCACAAGCTTGCAAATCCATTCAAGTGAATGTGAAGACAGAGTTTCAGATCTAGAAGATGCTGATGCAGCTAGTGAAAAGGTAAGAAAGGATCTCTTAAAAACAACGAGGATGCAGGAAAGAATAATCTATCGCCTGCAAGATAGTGCAAAGATGAACAATGTGAGACTAATAGGCATCAATTGAAAAGGAGTCAACACAAAGACATTTAAAAAATATGGGCAGAAGTAATAGCAGAAAACATCCCAAATATGAAGAAACAATCTGATATATAGGTAGCTGAAGCATACAGAATGCCAAGGAACATCAAGCTATTTAAAAACACAGCGAGTCATATTTCTCAAGATCCTAGAAATTCAGCACAAGAATAATCTACTGAAAGCCACTAGAGAAAAAAAGCTGATCACATTCAAAGGAAAACCCATCAGAATTACGGCCGACTTCTCTCCACAGA